CATAAATTTCATTGGAAAAAACACGTAACCTTCAGATATTACAATTGATCTGAAAAGTACATGACGTTAATAAAATTCATTACAAATCATATTAAAAGCAATGTGATAAGCTTTGAAACTTGATGAAATATATATATAAATTTCATGTGAATTTCATGTAAGATAATTTCACTTAGATTCTACATGAATTTATAGTATGAAAATTACTGAGTGGTGCTGGCATAAACAAAACCTAACATGGCATCCGAACGGTGCATTGCTGACGACCACAAAGTCACTTTCAATCGAAAATCGTCAACGGACGATGAAGCTGTCAACCATCACTTTCAATTGAAAGTCATTCTGTCTTCTCTTCGAGCAGATCCCCGTCAACATCAACAGAACCACTTTCGATCAGTGTTCATGCTGTTTGTTTCGACTTGACTCGTGTTAATTTATTTTTTTCATTGTCAAATGAACTTACTTTTGCATTGAAGCGAAGCTGTTCGATCCAAATTCGTGCAGTTTTTATGACTTTTGTTGCTTGTTCACTCGGTTCATTTAAACGTATGCGCATATATCTGTGCACGTTGATGTTAAATTTATCATTGTTGGGTAATTTGTTTATCCATCAATATGGGTATTTTTTCATCGGGGTGACGTCTAGAGATCGAAAATTTATATTTATGGCGGCTCCGATTTCAGATTAAGTGGGAAATACTATCAAATACCCATCCATATAGGTATTTTTGGAATCTGGATGGCGGCTAGAGGCCGGAAATCGAATCCGACGTCATTTTTAAATCCAATATGGCGGCTTCCTATTTCAGGAAAAATGGGAAATGCTGATGCCGTCCCATCAATATGGGTATTTTTGGAATCAGAGTGACGTCTGGAGATTGGCAATCAATATCCGACACAATTTTGAAATCCATGATGGCGGCTTCCGGTTTGAGAAAAAGTTGTAAATTCTATCAAATAACCACAGACAAACAGACATAACACTAGCAAGTTGTTCATCGAACAAGCATTTAACTAGTTGGTAGTACCACCACCTGTGGCGCGCATAGTCAATTCCCTTGCGTTTGACGTTTACACACTACTGCCATCTGTTCAGCGTAGTGCTCACCACAGTGTACTCAACAGATGGCGCTAATGTTTTAGCGACGATGTTTTACAGTGAGAAATACTGAATGTGTTATGTCTGTTTGTCTGTGAAATAACCATACAAACGGTTTTTTTTTAGAATCAGGGTGGCGTCTAGAAGCCGAAAATCGATATCCGCCATTTTGTAATCCAAGACGGCGGCTTCCGATTGACGGAAAACTGTCAAATGTCCTAAAATATGGTTATTTTCAGAATGAGGATGAGACGTAGATACCGAAAATTGATCTCACGCCGTCTTTAAATCGAAAATGGCGGCTTTGGTTCAGAAAAAACTGTGAAATACTGACAAATACCGATCAATATGGGTTTTTTGGAATCGAGCTCACATCTAGAAGAAAGAAATCGATGTCCGACGCCATCTTGAAATTCAAAATGGTGGCTTCCCATTTCAAATAGCCTACAAATGGCATCGAATATTGATTTTCAGTATCTAAAGGGTGTCCACGATGAAATTGCCACACTATGAAATTGCTCTAACTTTTTAACCGTTGGGTAGAATTTAATGAAAATTTGGGTCGATTTAGTTCATAGTGCATTATTTACATCTTGCAAGTTTTAAAGTCCTGTGATCAAAACTCGCGGAAATGGAGTCGAAAGAACAGCTCGTGCGTGATAAAATCTTGCGCATTCATCACGAGAACAAGGATCTCTCGCATCGTTCCATCGCTAAAACGTTGGGAATCGCGAATTCCACGGTGTTGCGAGTGATTAAGCGGTTCGAGGAACGGTTGACCACCGATCGGAAGCCCAGAAGTGAAGGAAAAAGTATTCCGTACAACACCAAAAATCACAACCGCGTAGTTGGGGCCTTAAACCGAAATCCGAACGCCTCCGTTAGGGATGTGGCTAAGAAGCTGCACCTAAGCCGAAGTTTTGTCCAGAAGGCCAAAACTAAGGCTGGGCTTCAAACGTTCAAGGTACAAAAGGCCCCTAATCGCGACGAGAAGCAGAACAAGTCCGCCAAAACCCGTGCCAGGAAGTTGTACCTCAACATGCTGACGAAAGTTGAATGCTGCATCATGGACGACGAAACATATGTGAAGGCCGACTTCAAACAGATCCCCGGCAACCTGTTTTTCACGGCCAAGGATAAGTTCAGCGTTCCGGAGCATGTCCGCACTCAGAAGATGTCCAAATTTGCGAAGAAATTCCTGGTTTGGCAAGCCATCTGCACGTGCGGGAAGCGGAGTGCACCTTTCGTGACCCAGGACACGATGAACGGACAGGTGTACATAAAAGAGTGCCTCCAGAAGCGGCTGCTTCCTCTCCTGAAGGCCCACAACGTCCCAACAATCTTCTGGCCGGATTTGGCCTCATGCCACTACTCCAAGGACGTGCTGAAGTGGTATGCGGACAATGAGGTCAATTTCGTGCCGAAAATGTTCAACCCTCCCAACACTCCGGAGCTCCGCCCCATCGAGAAGTACTGGGCGATTATGAAGCAGCACCTTCTTAAACGACCTAAGGTAGTGAAGACAGTCGAGGAACTGAAGAAAGTATGGGTTTACATGCAAAAAACGGTTGATTCACAGGTTGTGCAGAATCTTATGGCCGGGATTAAGGCCAAGGTGCGGGCATTTGCGTATGGACTGTAAATAAAATACGAGTAAAATGGTAAAATGAAGTTTAATAGTTATTTCTCAATCCCTGAAAATTTGATGGCAATCGGATGAAAACTCGAATTTTGCGAATCAATTTTGTGTGTGGCAATTTCATCGTGGACACCCTTTACGCGTCGTCCTCGTCCCGAATCTTAGGGTATTTGACACTTTTTGTGAAACCCGATGGCCGCCATATTGGATTCCAAAGTGGTATCTGATATCGATTTTTGGCATCTACGCGTCGTCCCTGTTCCGAAAATAACCATATTGTAGGGTATTTGACACTTTTTCTGAAACCCCATGGCCACCATATTGGAGTCCAACATAGAATCGGATATCGATTTTCTGCAGCCACGCGTTGTCTCCGTTCCGAAAATACCCATATCTTAGGGTATTTGACACGTTTTATGAAACTTGATGGTTACCATCTTGGATTCCAAAATGGCGTCGAATATCGATTGTCGGCATCCCCGTTCCGAGAATACCCATATTGTAGAATAGTTGATACTTTCTGAATCCTGATGGCCGCCATATTGAATTCCAAAATAACGTCGAATATCGATTTTCGGCACCTTCGCGTCGTCCCCGTTCCGAAAATCACCGTATTGTAGGGTATTTGAGACTTTCCCTGACCCCGATGGCTGCCATCTTGGACTCCAGAATGGCCTCGTTAATTTAATTTTCGTTTAATTCAAAATAATATATTATTACTACATATATTCCGGATACCATCCCTATCGGCAACCGATATTGTGTGGATACTATCGGGATTCTATATTTTGATGCCTGCGTCGTCAGGTCGTGACAAGTTGAATGAGCCCCGAATTGAATCGAAAGTGGAAAAAAACGAAGGAAGCAGTTTTCGAGTCATTCATTGCGTCAATTGAAACAAGTCTTTGCTTCCAATGAAATGAACTGAAGCACTTGGCGAACGAAACAAGTGAGATTCCAGACATGTTTGAAAAGAGGAATGTTCATCGTGACTCGATAACAAGAAACACAGTGACATACACGAAAATGATATTGCTCGAAATGAAGCGATTCTGCAGAGAATTCATTTCCTTTGTTTCGAAAATGCAAAACCCTGGTTGCTACATTTGCAAATTCCATTGGTTTTTTTGAATTTTCTGACAAGTAAGTTGTTTTATTTTCGTCATCATACACCATTTACTAATCATATTTATATTTTTGTAGAGCGAGGAATCGACGAGTTTGATTTCCTTACCATCTCACCTGAAAGATTGGCAGAGAAAGAAATTTACAGTCAGCTTTCTGCCTGGAGAGCTTTCCAGTTGCATTACATTGGATTGACAATAAGATTTTTTGTGTAAAAAATAGCTTAAACGTGTAAATATATATAAGAAACCATCTGCATTAAGCTGGACAATCCAATAAATAAACAAATATCTATCCAGTTATTTTTATTATTACGAAAAATCATTTTAGAACACCTGACAACATTTTGGATGCCATGAAGAAATTTACTAATATTTAAGGTAAAGTGTAAAAAAATTCACTTAGAAAGTTCTATAACATCTATGTTGCTTTCTAGTGGATTGGGGAAAGATCTTTTCACTTTGAGAAATTTTCACATGAAAATAAAGTGAAATTTACTTCAAAAGCTTCTACTATCTATTACAGTTTTATGTGGATTGAAATTAAAACTTTCGAACCGATCTACATATGAAAAACGTAAAATTTACGTGAAAAACTAGATGGAAAAAATCTATATATGTTTTCATGTAACATCTAAGTGAAAAATTTTCTGAGTGTAGGCCCTTTTCAAATGTTACGCGAGATATGCCTTGTTCTTTATCAGAGTTACTCTGAGTAACTCTCAGCTAAAGAGACACTCGCATTAAAGTCGTTTTCCCCCTTGACCCAGTGTGCGGCAGATGATGGTGGAATGCCAAAGAAAGTACGCGAGTTCATCCGAACGCCGTCCTCAGAAAAACGATCTTATTTTGATGCGTTTTCTGGGCAATATTTATGTGCACCCAGCTGAAACGACTTGAAACTTGTAAACAACGTCAAATAGTGTCAAAATATAACCAAAATATGTGCGTTTCCCCTTGTGATTTCATTCGATTTCTTATGAAGCTTGCTTCGAGCCTCACTTTGACTTATCGAATTTCGAGTGAAGAAGGAGGATTTGCTCAAAATTTTAAATGACAATGGTACATATTCGCATAATCAGGCTTATCGAATTTGTAGGAACTGAAAGATTAAATTGTGATTCACCGCCTTTCCAGGAATCACATCACAATGTTAACGCATTTTATCGAATATCGATAACACGAGTCCAGTGACGTCGAGTTTTGAAGTCGTCGATTGATAACAAATCCACGGGTCCATTCACCACACCAGTACCATTACCACCACCACCGTCCACGGCAAATTCAAGATTATGCGCAGATATCAGCCGTTCACTGTTCACATAGCCATTTCGCAATCTGAAATCAAACTGTTCGGTTTGTTAGTCAGATTCTGCTGAAAGGAAACAAGATCATGGATCCCTCCGTAAACCTCCGGCAAGAGCAACTGGTGGACCTGGTGGACGCAAAATCAACCCTTAGTGGGTCCGGTAGTGATGAAGCAGATGCAGCTGGATTTAACGAATCGAAACCGGTCGAGACCCTGCCTGTTGGGCCGATTCCGAAACGGAAGGGATCCGTGTTTCTAAACACACCTACTGCTCCGAACGCTAAGCTGTACTCTATGAACGGAGCGAAACGTGGCAAGGTGTTAATATTCGATCAGGTAACTTTCGATGATAAGAGTTATCCGAAACGAACCGGTACGGACAAAGACGTCGAAAGATTATACCATGGTTTGCCTCGACTCGGATTCCAAAAGGAGAATATTGAAGTGTACGAAGACATGAATTCGAGCGAAATCTACCGGACTGCGGTGAAACGTGAGTAGTGAATCGTTTATATGATGATCGGATTACTGTGATTGGTTTAATTTACAGTGGAAAACGACGCTGATCTGGAAAAATCCGATTGTTTAGTGGTGGTGATACTGACACACGGTGAAGAGAATGACATGTTGATGGCCAAAGATGGCCAGTATAGTTTGTACAAGTTTATTGAAAATTTCACTCCCACTACCTTGAACTCAATGGCTGGAAAACCGAAACTGTTCATAGTCCAAGCATGCCGTGGCAAAAAACTAGATCATGGTGTTCAGCTGCGAGCGAGCCAGATTCAGACGGATAGTGCCAAAGATCAGGTCGACTCGCAGACAAAGATTTTCACGTATCCGGAATTTGCCGATCTGGTCGTTGTGATGAGTTCCCATCACGGTAAGCTTTGTTTGAAAGAGAGAAAAATGATTTGAATGGTGCACCTTAATACTCTGAGAAAGTTTTAAGCTTTGTTCAGACTACAGAGTTATAAAACATGTTACAAGGGTGTTATAATAATTATCCACAAGAAAACTGTCATCAAGATAGCCTTGTAACATGTTATAACTCCATTGCGTGAAATTTCAAAGCACAAAGGCCAGCTTTCACAAAACATTCAAATCTTGATAGAGCTGGAATTAGGGCGGAACAGCTTTTGTAAACAGTGACTTCTTCCGATGATTTCTAGAAAGTCAAGGCTAGCCAACGCAAATCTACATCACCATCGGGTAGAGGAAGACTTCCCCTACCCTGATGGTTATGTTGGTTTGCGTAAGCGTGCCTTGAATTTGCTTTATTTGCTATATGAAATTGCTACTGTGCAGTTCCAAGCCAAAGAATTTTTTGCTCGACCTTCTCCGATTTGCATGATCTTATTTTAAAAAAATACCGTGTATATTTTTCCGAAAAACACTCCATTTGTTTTAACAAATTTGTCTTTGGCGTCGTTTCGATAAGAATATCTCATGTGAAAATTCATTTAAAAATTTTGAAAAAAAAATATACAAGATCCAAAATGGCCGAATTTTAGCAAAAAATTGAATGCTTGCCCATAACTCATTCAGGGAGCCAGTATAAACTGTCAAACGGGAGCCAACCATTAAGAAGCAACAACTGCAGCTACTGTTCTTATCTATCGTCAAGCATTGTACTCTCATAAAACTGATCCATAATTTTTCATATAAATTCCAAATTTTAAGCTCAAAGGCAAAAACCAACAACCTCAGTGATGAAAGTATAAAAACCAGCATAGTTTTTATGACTCTGCTGGGTTTTCATTCGCACTAAAACATGCTTTGGCGAAACATGTAGGTATGTAGACAAACAAACAAACTGGCTCAGTGCATAACAAACAAACAATGCAAAATTTCATGCAAATCGAAGAAGGTTGAGTTTAATCGTTTCGTCATTTGGCGTGGAGTGACTCTACTCCGTGTAGGAATTTCCTTATACACGGCCAACCAGAGCAACTCAGCGACTGAATTCAATTGACTCAGCGCGTTTTCTTTCCATACAAAATTTACTCATATTTTGGAAAAACCGGCAGTTACTCATAAGCTATCAGTAATTGCAGGCTTTTTGCAAATATGAGTAAATTTTGTTTGGAAAGAAAATGCTCTGAGTCAATTGAATTCAGTCACTGATTTGTTCTGGTTGGTCATGCAGCATAAATCAAGCTTAACTTTTCAGGTCACTACTCATTCCGGAACGAACAAGGAAGCTGGTTGATTCAGGAACTGTGCACTGTAATCGAAAGCTGTGATCTGGAAACGGATTCTATTTATGACATTCTGACGGAAACGAATAATGCCGTATCCAAGCGGATCAGCAATTCCGACGGAGAGTTGGATAAGAAGAAACAGATTCCTAGCTTCTACTCCACCCTGACTAAGAAGCTGTACTTCAGACCATCAAAGTAAATGCAGCGACGTTTGATAAGATGCTTGATTCTTCTGTGGATAGCAAAGGCGAAATAAAGTTTGACACCTCGCGTTCGATCAGACAGTGGAAATGGATCATATCATTCGATCACTTTGAAATTACGTTTTCAACCGAAAAAAATAAAATTATAATAAAACGACTAAATTACAATGATTTTTACTGTTGAATTTCGAGTAAATTAATATTTATTGCTAAATTATTGTACGGGAGAAAAAACAGATTTGTTGGAGAAAAATTATTTTTTTTTTATTGTTAAAATAAGAACCCCCCTTTTTCACTGTAAATTTCTGAAATACCATGATTTTCATTGTTGTGAACCATGAATTTCGTTGTGATTTTATGGTAATGGACAAAAATGACAGTAGATATCATGGTTACAATGACAATGAAAATCATGGATCATGTATTTTGGATTTTTTTACGAGCAACCATTTGCTCTTTACTATAGTTCACTATGATGTCTTGGTGTACTATGTATCGGACAGAACGTTCCAGGTATCTCTAAATGGCATCATATCGGATGCTTTCAACATCATTGGGCCCATCCTGTTCAATCTATTCACCTCCAATATTCCGGCTCTCCTGATGGTCCTGATGGTGGATCGCTGTCTCTGTTCGCAGACGACACATCCATCGTCTACAAGGGTATGGTCATCGGAGCTCTGACTACCAAACTCCAGAGAGGCTTGGATGTCCTGTCTGAGTATTTCAACAGCTGGAAGATCGATATCAACGTGGCGAAGACCCAGGTCATAATTTTTCCACACTCAAAATCTCCCAGACTTTTTCCGTCTGAGAATAACAAAATCTGCACAGTGGCACAGTGGTGGAATGGTTCAAAGAGGTAGTCTACGTCGGGCTGACTCTAGACAGTGGGCTGCTTTTCAGGGAGCACATTCACAAAACGAAACCCAAGTGCAACGTCTTGATAAGATCATTGTATCCACTTATGTTCCTGAAAAATGATCTTGCTGTCTAGTAATCGAGTACGGTATGCCAATCTGGGGCGAGTTGCGCCAAATGCCATCCCCTTAAACTCCAAAGGATCCAGACCAAGATCCTTAGGATGATCCTAAACAGTCCTCCATGGACACGAAATTCTGAGGTTCACCGTCTGGCTGTCTGATTTCAGATCATCAGATCATCAGATCATACGCGATCTAGCACGTTAGGTTAAGTTGTTATACTCTTAGTTAGGTAGGTTATCACATGTTTTCAATTAAAACGAAACACACCCTGTAACCGATGGTTCCATAATGTGGGCTTGTGACTCTATCACAAGTGCACTCATAATCGACTGTATAACAGTGTTGTAGAATGTCCTAAATCCAACTCTGCTGTTGGTCGCTCACTTTCCCATACCTTTCCATTCGCCTGCGGTACCACTCACTCTCATCAAACTGGTTGACAGCAGGCGCTCTGCCGAAAAGGTTGTCCATATATGGGGTAAGGGGAGAGACAACGACGGGTGAAATAAATATGTAAATACAGCAACATTTCGGGTCTGCTCGTATTTCGTGGTTTTTTGCGGATTATTGCTTGGCATGCTAGCAGGAGTCAGGTTAATTCTGTTTCAACCGCACTCGGGAACAGAATCAGTGCGCGACGTGCTAATTTTCCCAAAGGTTCGCTGAAAGGGCGAGGTAAAAATGTGTAGTGTGGTTTTTTTTAAATAGTGTGTTTTGTTTAATTACAGGTCTAGGGCTAGTAAAAAGAAAAGTTAGTAGTGTCAGTCGTGTTTAAAAATTTCGTTAGTAAAAGTGGTTAGTAGTGCTAGCTGTAAAATTAGAACTGAAAATAATGTGTTATATTGTTCTTTAATGTTAGGGTAGTTCGACCAATTGTCACCCCAAACTGACGGTTGACTGTTACCGTGCAGATAATTCTAAAAGAAAAGGTAAATTTATGTACATTTATTGTAAATTTGTGAAAAAAATTATGTATTGTATGAGTAATTATGTGGTTGGTTTGGTTTTGAAAGGGGCAGGCTAATTAAATGTGTATGGCGAGGTGCTAATAAGCGTGGTTAGGTCCACAAAGGGCCTTTTTCTTTTCTTTGGCAGCATTTGTCCTGGAGCGAGCGCCATTGTGTTCGAGGTCAAAGGACAAGCCCGGCATTATTAGCGAAGCCATTTTGCAAAGGCCACGTTGCAGCGGTAAGTCCATTGTGACACGCGTTCGGGATTGGTCCTCCAGCTGGGTTCAGGAGAACCAGCTTGGAGCAGTGCAGCAGTCGCTACCGCGGGTTCTAACGAGCCAATATCGTCCCGCTTCTTTCTCTTCCGCCACCCTCTATGCTGTTTTGGTTGCCACCGCTCCGCGAACTGCATGCACCGGGCGAGTTATCACGCAATCGCCACGCAGTCACCAGAATTAGACCAATTAGTGATTCGCCAGAATAACCACCACCCGCTTCATCACCGCCACCATCGCCCCATCGCCACCACCACCGCCACTGCCGAGAAACCCCGAAAACGAAGCCAAACCGCAAGTAAAATGTGACGTCACAATGTTAAAAACTATGTATCGTAAAATCTAGAATATAATGCTATTGTACATGTAATTTTCTTAGTCCAGAACTTTTCATACTAGTTGAAAATCTCACTACCATTTCTTTTGTGTATCGTTCTCCGGACTCGAAAGGAGTCTTCATGCCTCCCTCCCTTTGTGGTTTATTCAGTAGGAAATTGACTCTGTGGCTTTTGAGCATAGAAAACCATAAGTGAATCATTCATGTTGTCTTTCCCCTTTGCCCTGTTTATGGACAATACCCTATCGTCGTGAGTTACTACTGACAGCATAGATTGAAGAGTGAGAGTGGTATACCGTATTCCTTCCTTCCGACCCTGTTGATAACTTTTTCCACTTTGTAGCTGAGGGGTTTACAAATTGGCGCCCAACATAAAAATAATTTCATTGATTTTTCAGGAATTTCGGTTACAGTATCTCTCCTCTCCCGACCGAGGGAGGTAAAAACAGTAAAAACTGTTTCATTATTTTGCCTTCTCCAAACGACAAGTGCAAGTGATTATTATTAGTATTTAGCATGCATTTAGTAATTCTCGGTTATTAGAATTTTGCATGCAGTTCAGTTAATTATAATTTCGAATTCTTTTTGTAGCATTTAAGCACCCCTTACGGGTTCTCATATTCCATTGATTTGTTTTGTTGCTGTTCATTCATTTGTTTTGTTTATATTTTGACGCTAGCGAGAATCTAACAGAATCGATGTTGTTTTGCAGATCTGAGAAGTTTTCGAGATTGTTGGAGTTGTTCCGGATGTAACGAGTGGGCCCTAGAATATATAAGGCTGCGTTGAAAACCGTCCTGGAGTCCGATTAAATCAAATCGCGACTGAGAAGGGTGAGTACAGTTGGATATAAGAGTGAGTCTGGACAGGGCACAGACGTTGATCTAGCCACGATTCGAACACTCGTTACTTCCTGAAGGCTCCAACCACCCGATAGATTCACAGTTATGGATTCTGAAATGCAGATAAAATACCGGACCCTTTTGGTTCACCATCTAGAAAAGGAAGAGGTTGAATTCGAACTAGAGGTTAGAGCAGTTCAATTCGAGAAAGATGAAAGTTTATCGGTAATCAGAAGACGTTTGAGGGAAAAGTTGAAGAGAGAAAGAGGCGATCCGGAAGAAGTTGATTTTGCAATCTGTGAAACTCGTACGGTTGATGGAGAAATTAGGTTGATCGATGGAAAGATTAAGGAAATTCGAGATTATTTGGAAAACAAAGGAAGGAGTTCGAAGGCATTAGGGATGCATTAGGGACACGATTAGTGCATTATTTTGCTCGATGTTCTGCCATTCAAAGTGCCGCCGAAGAAGATAATGATCTAGAAGATCTGGACAGGCTACTAGGTACTATTCGTCGGTGGTATAGCACATTCTTCACTATGTTTTCTCCGATTGATTCGATTCGCAAGGAAGTGATGCTGCAGATTACAAATTCCCTGACCCAGTTACAGTTAGGTCTACCAGTTCCTTCGAATGTACAGCGTGTGTCACAGGAGACACAGACAGATGATACCGACGGGGAATCACGGGTTGCAGAAGGATCAAAGCCGTCAAATTCAGGTGCTAATCAATCGCGTCGTCTACTCCGGTCAACTTTGGAACAACCAACTTCAGATTCGTATGTTCCACCCAGTATTGCAAAACCGTCCGGAGCAAGAACAGTTCGCCAGAAGTCTAAGGAGCGTATTCTGAATAGGTTTGATCTATCGAGTAAGAATTCAAATCCAAATAATAAAGTTGTTGATTCCGATTCAGTGTCTGAGTCGTCATTGTCCGCATCTCCACCGAGGAGATCAAAACATAGGTCCCGTGGCCCAAATACGCGGCGAACAAAACCAGTGTCGGACTGGAATTTACGCCGTTATGACGGTAGGGACGGAGGTCAAGGTTTGATGCGATTCATTAAGGAAGTGGAATTTTATGCGAAATCGGAAAACGTCTCCGATAAGGAATTGTTTCGTTCAGCGATCCATCTTTTCTCAGGCATAGCCAAAGTTTGGTTTATGCAAGGGGTGGAGAATGAGGATTTTACGTCTTGGCAAGAGTTGGTGGCCGAGATGAAAAAGGAATTTTTGAGCCCAGACCACGACCACGTGAGCGAGTTTAGAACTGTTGACAGGAAACAAAGATCTAAAGAAAAGTTTCAGGATTTCTTCTTTGACATTCAAAAAATTTTCAACTCATTAACGAAACCAATTTCAGAAAAAAAGAAATTTGAGATCGTGTTTAGAAATTTGAGAGCGGATTACAAAGGGCATGTAGTAGCTGCTCAAATTGACAATCTTGCAGATCTGAAACCTTTTGGTCGCAAACTGGATGCCACTTTTTGGTATAAGTATGAGACCCGTAACCAAGATGAACAACCTTCTAGGAATCGTTCCCAAGTTAATGAATTGAGATCATATATGAATTCGAAACCAAACAGAGATGGAGAAAAGCCGGCAAAATCTCGATCGGATCAGAAAGCAGCGGATAAACCAAATAGGGAAAAAGGAGACAGAAAGCCGGCACGCGATCAGCAGTCTGGAGATGATGAGAACGGTAAAAAGTCTGTGTCTGATGGGTTGAAGGTTTTACTGGATACGTACATTCCGCCCAAGCCCGGCATGTGTTATAACTGTCGCCTTCCAGGTCATCACCAA